GATCTTAAACTAGTTACAGTTAGTGGTACGACAGAAGCATGGCAGCAACTGGAAAATAGTGAACTCAGTGGTGAAAGTGATTTTCTTTACCATGCTACATATCAAACAAACATTTATAGCAAACTGTGAAAATACGCCTTTAAGGTTACTTGGGACCGCTGTACTTTACTGCTGGCAACTAACAAACAAATTAAAGAAATGCCAGCTTTTGTAAGTGAGGATAATTAATATAAAACAAGGTTAAATATTCCGTGTAACGCATTTACATTGTTATCGTAGGAAGGAACAAACACAAAAGGCCGCGAATTGGGTTTCTGTGCAGCAGGTTTGCGTGGGCCCCCACGGGGTGTTTAAGAGGGCCCAAAGCACACCTGCCCTGCTTCACACCACCAGCTCAAACACTCCTGAAATACTTTCGATACAGTTACTTTTTAACCTCTTCTAACAGCCAAATTACCATATGACTGGTTCGTAGGGAGGCAAATCGAAAGACAGACTTCCCTTCACCTGTATTCACTAGAGGGGGGAAAAAAAAAAAAAAAAAAAAAGAAAGATTGGGCTCTTCCAACACACAACGTGAGCAAAACACGCCACGGTTGTCTCAGTCCCAGGCACCAAAGATGATTTCACGAGCCAGTTATAAAACAAAGCAAAGTGAAAACCACCTTCGTTTTGTCACAATAGTCAGAGGAGAGAAAGAGAGGAAGGAGCGGATGGCTGCAAAGCTCGACCAAAGCATGACCGGTGACCACAAGCCTGCGGAAGTTTAGGTGTCAGTTCAAGAACACATCTCCCTCGAAAACACCACTGCAAAAGCCTCCTCTCGCAACGTCAATATTTAATAAGAAATTTACTCGTGACTTTGAGCAGAATATTGGAAAAGAACCCTTCTTGTGGTAAGCAATGTGTATTTTATTGTTGATTGTGTAAATTCGTTTATTCCTTCATAAAGCAGTGTGGGCTTTTAAATTAAAAATAGTGATTCAATGCCTTCCACATGGAAGCAGTTTACCTTTGATTACAAATTAGGGATCAGATCTGTGGCAGCTGCTGAGAACACAGGATTAGCACCTTTTGGACACTAGTTTCTGGTTATAACCTCAACAATCAAGCCGTAACTTGAGGGGCTGGCTGGATTATTTGCTGCATTCATTTACATAATAAGACAAAACACTCAGTACGGTCTGGTACATTCTAGTGGTTAATGGATTTTAAAATATGACAGTGTTTCTGCAGTGTGTTTGGCCTTTAGGAGTCACTCTTCTTTTTGCTCTTCTTCAGGAAGGAAGGAGTGCGGAACTTCTTTTTCTTTTTGGATGGGGATTTCCCTGGAGATTCGTCACTACCGGCATCAGCTGCTGTCCCCTCCTCAGCTGTCGGTGTTACCGGCTCTTCGGCAGGTTGAGACTGGGGTTCCTTATTTTCCACTGCAGGTGATTCCGTTTGGCTTTTGGGCACATCTTCATCACATCTCCCTTCCTCCTTTCCTAAGGGAGGGAAGCCGAGTGCTTCCGAAGGCTCATCGGGGGTGAGATCTGGGAGGGTTTGCTTGAAAGTTGCAGCGTCACTGTCATCTTTGTAAGTCTGGTCCTGCTGTGTCTCTGGTGGATGGACAGACAACGGCACAGTTAGTTTACTTGGGTGTCCCTAGGACAGAGGAAGCGAAGCAAGTTGATGGCGAGAGCACTCTACAAAATACTCATGTATTTACTCCGCATAAAAGCCTTTGTCATAGGTCTGTTCTCCTTCCGCTTTGGGCACAGAGGTAGAAGATACTCAAAAGTTTTGTTTGCTTTTAAGCTTCTTACCACAGAACAGAAAAAGCTGAATTCCATCATGCGGGTGGAAACCAGCAGGGAAGCCACTGTTCAGACTTCTCCCACATTTTACTTGTAGCGTTTGCC